AAGGAAGGAAGGAAGGAAGGAAGGAAGGAAGGAAGGAAGGAAGGAAGGAAGGAAGGAAGGAAGGAAGGAAGAGAAGGACCAAGGTTGCCCTTCAGAGTAACTCCCAAGGCCTCTTCAAGAGGGCATCAGGGATGGCCAACCAGTGGCCTTCCAGATCCAGAACAGCCAGGTGCCGTGAGTTGTAGTTCAGCAACATCACTGTTCAGCCAGAAACGGCTGATTGCAACCGGAAGTGGTTTCTTCCTACCTATTCAACAATCCAGGTCCCCAAACCGAGCAGTTTTGCCTCTGGGCTCTTGTTGCCCACAATGGCCATGAGCCTCCCACGTATCCAGGGCCAAGACCACGCCCAGAGAGTCTCACCTGTCACCTGGGGCACGTAAGGCACCGACAGCCGTTCCACGCTGTAGCCGCTGCCTCCTAAGGATTCCACAATCTTGTGAGTCAGGAAGAACAAGCTCTTGTCATCCTTACCAAAGTTCGGGGGAATGCTGTAAAAAAAAATAAATACATCGATCGAAATGAAGGGGAAAACCAATGAGGTTATCAGCGGATCTCTAACAAAACAGAGCTGGGAGGGACCTTGGAGGTCTTCTAGTCCAGCCCCCTGCTCATGCAGGAGAACCTATACCATTCCCGACAGATGGCTGTCCAATCTCTTCTTAAAAACCTCCAGTGATGGAGCGGCCACAGCTTCTGGAGGCAGGTCGTCCCAATGATAAATCGTTCTTACTTATTGCTTTAACACAGGGGTAGGCAACCTTGGCTCTTTTATGACTCGTGGACTTCAACTCCCAGAATTCCTGAGCCAGCCATGCTGAGGGGAAAGGGAGAGGTTTCCAAGCTGAGCCATGCTGGCTCAGGAATTCTGGGAGTTGAAGTCCACCAGTCATAAAAGAGCCAAGGTGGCCTACCCCTGCCTTAACAATATCCTTCAAGCTCTGCCCTGGGTTTCCAAAGTTTCTCCTTTCAATCCACTCAATTTCTTTCCTCTTAGCTGAAGAGGGAACTTGGCTGAAATCTTTAACGATGCCATCTTACCATCCTGAAATCTCGGCCGAGTTTTTGGGTTTTTTTAATTGATAATAAATCTTGCGAAACCGATCAAATCTAACATCAGATTTAGTAAAGTGCTGCAGGTTCATCTTTCGAATGTCAGAATAAAAATTAAAATTGCTAAACTGCATCGGTGTGCTCAGAACAATCTGTCCAGTGGAAAACCCCTAACCTTTCTAGGACTGATGATGTTCCCTAGTTGGGTCATGAAACGCCTGCAAGAAAACCGCTTAGCTCAGAGAGCACCAAGGACCCCTCAAGTCCTTTCGTCCTCCTCCTCCTCCTCCTCCCTGCAAACCCTATTCCCTTCTAGCACTGATGATGCTACCTAGTTGGGTCATGAAACGTCTGCAAGAAAACCACCCAGCTGAGAGAGCACCAAGGACCTCATAGTCCTCCTCTTCCTCCTCCTCTTCCTCCTCCTCCTCCTCCTCCTCCTCCTCCTCCTCCTCCTCCTCTCTGCAAACCTACTCCCTTGTAGCACTGATGATGTTACCTAGTTGGGTCATGAAACATCTGCAGAAAACTGCCCAGCTCGGAGACCACCAAGGACCCCAAAGTTCAACGCTGAGCTACCGAGACTCTCTTGTCAATTTGAGCTTCCTTTATCAGCCACCCCAGGAGCCTTTTTACCTGCTCTTATCCCGAAGGATGGTTTCCGGCAAAAAGTAGGGCGCTTCCACTGTTCTGGTTTCAATCACCTGGAAAGCAGCGGGAGCAAACATGTCAAAATTGTTAACCCAGCAGAATGAAATCACAATTGCTCACAATTTTTTCTTGGCAGAACATGCAAGGCTAAAATAGGGGGGGGGGGGGCCTTCTTTGAGGCACCCAAGACGGCACGCTGCCTGCTGGGGGGGCGCTGGGGATGAGGCGCAAAACGTTCCACAAGGAAGAAGGGCCGAAAAGAAATAAGGAGGAAAAGGGACAAACCGCGACTTTGCTCCCCCCACCCACCCACCCACCCACCCACCTTGCTGACATGCTGGCAGAAAGCCGGGACCGCGATCATCTGGCTCAGGAAGTTGAGGTACGCGGCGACCAGCCCCATGATGCTGCAGCGGTGGAACATGGGTAGGTTGTCCTCGTTGAGAATGGCGATATCCTTCCGGACGGAGGGAGAGGAGAAAAAGGAACAAAATCAAGACACACAAAAGTGCCAAGGGACTTCCCGGGAAGCGTTCCAGG